TTAGAGCAAACTGAGGCCGCCAGTTGGACCGAAGCTGGGAACTCGACGTCTCTGGGAACGGGTCCAGGAGCAGTGACCACCGGGTGTGCAGAGCCTTCACCAGCACATCATCAGGGCAGGTGGAGCTCCTTGGGCATGGCTGGGCTCAGCCAGGGTGCTTCAGGTGAGAGGTTACAGGGTTTGAAACTGGCTACACAAGGTGCCCTGCTCTTATCACCGTCCCAATAAGTGTGTCTGTCTGGACCCTTCCTGCTACAACCAGCTCCTCCACCTGCTCAGCTGGCCAAAGCCAGCACCTGTCCTCACTTCTCCAAGCAGGCTGGTTTTAATTCACAGCCCTGAAGTCTCCCTTCCATCCGTCCAGGGTTAAGTTGCTGTATTTTCCAGGCAATAGATAAAAAAATAAAATTGACGAATGAGTTTAGCATATGACCATCATGCATCAGTTATTTAATAGAAAGAATAGCTGGAAGGTCCATCTACAGCTTGTTTGCCTTGTACATATGGGAAATGGAATTTAAATTACCACATTGCTTGAGGAGCAGTTTGTAATCCCACTATAGTGAAGTCATGTTTTTCATGGGATGGGAACAGCAGATAGTAAGAGTTTCTGCAGTTAGCATGATATCAAGTGTGATGGCAAGACACTTTAAAGTGTTTTGGCTGTAGATGGAAATGTTCAGATGCAGAACCAGCAATTATACCTCCCTGTGAGAAGACACTGAGCCAAGCTGCCATCAGCTTGCTTGTGTTTGCAGCTTGTCTTCCAGGATACCCACAGCTTGATCCACATTCTCATTGAAAAGGCAGAACAGCTTCCCAGAGCCTGTATTAGGATCACCTTTATGCAGAGTATGAGGTTTTCCTTTCTTTCTTTCTTTTTTTTTTACAATACTTTTATTGCCTTTTTTGGTTTGAAAACTCCTAATTATTTTCCAACTTACTGACAACAGGCATCCTTCCTAGTCTAAAGTCTCTGAACATGGAGGGGGTCATGAAAGAACTTGAAAACCATTATAGTGTGAGACAGGGCAATGCTCTGTATTCATTTGGCTCTAGGAATTGTTAACAATAATCCCATCTGTAATTTGTAGTAAATATACGTATAAATTAGTAAAAATAGGAATGGTAATAGACCAGTCTGTGAATTTGTATGCTCTTGTGCTAAGTGCTGTACAAATACAGAAGATAAATTCAGCCCCAGCACCAAAGGGTTTTTTCAGAGAGGTGGCTGCAGACTGGTGGGGGAATATGCAAAACCAAAACAACAGGGCCATGCTGTTGGTTCAGCTGATGTCAAAGATGTCTGTGGATGTCCTGGTGTCTACAAGGGGTGTCTTCCAGAAACAAAGGGTTAATGAGAGTCAAAACTCTGGCTGAAGATTTAATGGTCAGTTAGTGAGGGGGCATCATCAGAGCCAGGAGGGAGGGATGCTCAGAGGGCATGACACATGATAGATGTCCCTCAAGGATCAGGGCAGCACTGCACTCTGTTAGAAGTTTGAAGAACAGATCCAGAACCAGATGCAATGAGAGGCAGTTTATAAAATATTCATTTGGTGGGTGCAAAAACTGCACCATGCTAGCGTGAGATACGAGAAGGTTAAAATATAGACAGTCATGTATCTTCAAATATTGATCTCAGGCAGTATTTGACTCGCTCTTCCTGCTGTGCATACAATGCTTAAACCTTCCCCTCCTATGCACAAAGGGTACAATTAATATTCTCTGTTCCTTACTCATCTGAAAGCAGCAGCTGTGGTATGAACTCAGTGTTGAAGCTCTCCCTCCTCTCAGTGGAGAAAAAAAGGCAAGCACCAAGCACCAGGCAGTCTTCTAGAGAAGCAGGCTCTGACACGAGGCAGGTGAATGATTTTTTCAGTGTCTCTTGTCTGGATAATCTTGACATGATGTTTGACCTTCAGACGGTTAAAATTTGCTGAAAGGAATCCTGTGCCAGGTCTCCTCTTTGGTTAAATCCTTTATTAAGTCCTGTACATTTTTAAGCCTTAAAAATAACATATTTAAAAATGTAGTAAAATCTTCTAACAAACTAGAAAAATATTGTTATTACTGCTATCATGTTGTTCTTGTTGTTGCTGTTATTTTTATTGTTAATACAAAAAGTCTTCTACAAAACTTTTTCACTAAAGTTCCCAGGAATAATCCAAACTACTTTTTCTAAAGAAAATATATTTTCAATCCTTATATCAAACAGGAAGCAAGTTAAAATTAATTTCTCATTGCTAATATTTCCCTGTTAAGAACTGGAAACCATTCCTGTGACTTAGGGAGGCATGGAGTCTACATTTCCTGCTATCATGTAAGGAAATTTTCTAAATGTCAGTGTTGTAGTGTGTTTGTTTGTGGCAAAAAAAAAGATGCAACACCAATATTTAACACTTGGTTAAGGACAAAATAAAAAATTTGTTTGGCTTGGAAGGGACTTTAAAGATCATCTAGTTCCAACTACCCTGCCACAGGCAAGGACACTGCCATGAATTCTTGTTGCTCAGTGCCCCATCCAACCTGGTATTGAGCACCTCCAGGGATGGGGCATGCACAACTTCCCTGGGCAACCCGTCCCAGTGCTCCACCAGCCTCATAAGAAGGGATTTCTTCCTAATATCTAAACTAAACCTGCCCTCTGTCAGTTTAAAGCCATTCTCCCTTATCCTGTCACTACTTGCCCATGTAAAAAGTCCCTCTCCAGCTTTCCTGTAGGCCCCCTTTAGGCACTGGAAGGTGCTGTAAGGTCTCCCCAGAGCCTTCTCTTTTCCAGGCTAAACAATTCCAGCTCTCTCAACCTGTCTGCAGAGCAGAGGTGCTCCAGCCCTCTGAGCCTCTCCATGGCCTCCACTGGACTCACTCCAGCAGGTCCGTGTGTGTCTTATGTTGAGGCCCCAGAGCTGGAAGGAGTACTCAAAAGGAATTTATATCTAGAGCTATCCAAAAATAAAAATGACTGATAAAAACGCCACTTTCTAGCCTCAAATAGAAGCAGTAAAAGAGTAAAAACAAAAATTTCCATAGATTTTTCCACAAGTTCTAGTTCTGATGAGCTTTAAACTACAGTATTTGAGTGTCTCCACAGTTACTAATTCAAGTGTCAGTGAAGCTGATTTGAGCTGTTGATCACTTTAGCAGTTTCTGTGCATGTTCAAACATGCACATGTCTCATCAATTTCCCTAGATGAACAGAAACGTGAGTGGCTAGATGTGTCTTCTTCATACAGACAGAAAAAGAATCCAATTTAAACCAAATGGGGATAAAACAGATGTATTTAAACATTAAACAAGCCACCTTCTATCTTAGGGATTTCAAAGTGAAATGACTTTAAGGGAAATATTATTTGATATCATGTGTGAGCTGTGCTTTAGGACAGTATTCTTGACTGTTTAAATGGGGTAAGTAGGTAAAATAAAGTATCTCATTATGCACATGAGCATTATGATGACCTACTGCTTCTTTCTAACATGAAGAATCTTTAATTATTGCATCAGGTTACCTTCTTTCAATCTCTCATGACTTTATAGCACTTCATCATCATCTTCACAGTAATTTTCTTTCTAAAAAGTCAATAAACCCTCAACCTTGAACCAAATCTCCTTATTCCCCTCCTGAATCTTCTCCTGCAGCTATTTTCTGTTCCTGTAATGTTGTTACTCCTGATCACTGAAGTGAGGGGATCATTGCTAAGTCAATCTCTATATACTCTAAATATTTGTATATCAGAGATGTATTTAAGGAAACACTCAGAATGTACTGAAATAAACAGGAATTCTAGCATTTATTTCAAGCTGTTGAAGGCTTAATCTCACATTTCCCTGACAGTTTGTCTACTAGATTTTTTTAGCGCTCAGTAGAAACTAGAAATGAACATTCAATTCTGTTTACTTCTACATTCCATGAAATTACTTTGATTTAAATTCTGAAACTGGGTTAGAGGTGAAATAAACCTGAAACAATCTGAAAATTAGGACAGTTTATCTTTTTAGAAAAATGCAGATATGTGAATGTATAATCAAAAATAGAACTAGATTTGAGCTCATAAATGAAAACTAATTTCCTGTGTTGTTTTTAGGACAATTGCTCGGATAACACAGCTGAGAAGCTCATTAAATTTGTTTGGTCATATAAAAATGAATCTCTTTGTCCAGATGGAAAAGGCAACTCAAGGGAAGTTGACTCTTATTATAGGTAAGTGATTTCAGCTTTTGTTAAAATGAATGCATGCAAAGCAACATTCCTTCATATGAGTGTCTTCTTGATTGCCTAATTAGAGAGATTGTTACTAATTATAGTAATGACTGTCAGCGCACAGATTGCATGGACAGGTTTATGGCACCATTATGGGAATTACCTTTTTGCAACCAAATATTTTCAACAAGTAATTTTCATATGGGTGAAATCCTGTTGCTGTAAATGCTGACAGGTATTGAATAATTTCTTCGAATGATTGGTCAGATCTTTCATCCAAGCTCTCTTCGACCTTGCCTTGGCCCATCAGACCCCTGTTTCACCAAACCCTGGACCCTTCTAGCACATTCTAATAAGCCCGCCCCTCCTTTTAACATAATACAAATAATATAACAAATTAATACAATGTAATTGAACTATATCCTATTTTAACTTAACTTTTATCTCTTAACTTTTATCTATAACAAGCAGACATCTGGGGCTTCTCAGTAACTCAGAGCAGCCAGATAAAGTTGAACAAATGGTAAGAATGGATACAGGATGTGTGTTGTACTGTAAGCCTTCTTTGGTAGTGATGAGCATGTAAAAAACTGCATTAGCTGATAAGGCACTTGAGCTGAAAGTCTTTATTTATCTCAGTGAAACACTGGGATTTAAATGAAGGAGCACAGAACTTGAAACTAACTCTGTTTCTTCACTCCTGTGTCATGCAGCAAAAGAGAGATATCATACCTCAGACTGGTAAGCAAGGTAAGAAACCATAACTTTATTATAAAACAAAATTAATGATTCCTTTGTGTACACTGTGCCCAGAGCAAAAGAAATCCAAAACCACTGCTTTCCCTTTGTCAGGGACTACAGGTAAGGTTGCCTGGGTGAGGAGGAAGTGTTTGTTTTTACTCCAACACTGTGGGCAGTTATTTTCAGAACATGTGATTGACAACCCAAAGAACAAGGTTTCTTTATTTTTTATAAATGCGGTCTTGATATTACATAATTCTCTAACAATTAAATTTTTGAAAGTTAGAGGATAGGTCTCAAAACTCTTAAAATCCTGAGCTTAGAGTCTCTGTTATGAGTTTCTGCTGGTTTTGACCTTCAGGATCTCCTCTTTCCTAGAAGGAAAGCAAACTGGAAAGGATGAAAAATACAAATTTTCTTTGATAGCACTTACTTTTGCTAGTGGAGGTGATGATGCAGAGCTCCAAAGTAAAAGCAGAGAGGGAAGCAATAGTTTAGGAATGTCTCTTCTCAGCCTCTGCCCAAGATCTTTTAGGGTGTTTATTTGGTGAGGGCTTTTTTTGCTGTTGCTGAGACAATGAGCTGGAAAGTCAGAATATGAAGAAGATGGCTTAAATTTCAGTGAATTCTGGTTTAGATGGCAGATGCTGGATGTAAGCTGTTGAAAGTGTTGTTATAGATAGCAGATAAATCATTTTAATTGTTTCCATTAAAAATGTTTAAAATCATAAATAATATAGGTTGCAAACAAAATGAGACAAAGCAAATAGTACAGTAATAGATACACACCCATATTTATACTGTAAATCAAATATATGTAGTTACAAAGTAGAAATCCATTATTTTTAGGAATGTTGGTAAGCATTTCCAAAGAGATGTTGCATTGCTGAGGCTATTCTAGGCTAATAGGAAAATTATTTGAATTGTTCCGCAATAACATCTTGTGTACTTGTGTCATGACAGCAGATTTCTGAAACGTTACTGAACCAAACTCATTCTTAATTCCCGTGATGAGTGACACAGTGAGTGAGAGCAATTATCCCAAAATGTAGCTGTTCTTTTATTCTCAAACTGATGTATATTTCCACAACACAGTGACTGACTGTCTTCTAAATAACCAAAGTTCAGTCTTTAGAAACTGCTTGCACGCTACTCTATTCAGCTATGTGGCTCAGCATTTGTGGTGTGCAAGGAACTGCCTGTGCCTATTGTTTTTGTCCCCAGATTAAAACTCTGAAGGCTTTGGCAGTCTTTCCTGAAGTCATTGGGCTCTGAAAATGCTCACAATTTCATTATGTTGATGTCAAAAGTGTTGGAATTTTCAAAGGCCTACCAACCAAATACTGCAAATGACAGTAGCTAAACTTTTTCATTTTATACGATCACTTGTGTGATTTGGAGACCATTACATCCCCAAATGTACATCTGTTGCAGCAAAGGGTTACCAGAAACATCTAACAGGGATATCAAGACCATTGCTCAATAACCACAGGCATTATTTTGCAATATTTATTGTGCTCTGCAGGCGTTTTCCTGGGATCAAAACTTGGCTGGTTTTATTAACAGTATTCGCAGTTGTGTCACATGGATTGTTTCATGTTATTAGAGCTGAATGCTGTGAGTTGCTATTTCAGAATTGCAAGTTATAGATTTTGCAGGAGTGCATTTGCATGCTGTAGCCTCTAACAAAATGCTGTGTAATTTAAATACCACCTTTATCCAGCATGAGTCCCTCTGGTATGTATCGCTATCCAGGAAATGTGTCTGGATACCTTCCCCACTTAACCTGCTTGATTTTACATGACACAACCAGGTGCACTATTTTCAAGATGCATTCTTGAGTGTTTAGGGTTAAACCAACCCAAGAGAAGCATACAGGTAGCTGTCACTTAAACCAGTTTTCTGGAAATGATGTATGGGGATTTCAAGATGACCTTCATGTTCTTTACCAGAACTCAGCCTACACACAGACACAAGTACAATCAGATGTTTTTACTTGCATAGCTAAGAGACACGATTGGTTTTTTTCAAATGATTTGCATGTCTTTCTGTAAAGAACTACTCTTCTTAAGCAGCAGGTGAGGAAAAGAATATGGGTAAGATACTTGGGGAGGAATGTGAAAAGAAATTTAATATATTTAATCTTATTATACATTTTTCTACATTAAATTCAACAGGCTGCAAATATATTTGCTACAAAGCTTTGTGTAAGAAATATCTCTATAAGAAAATACATCTCATTAAACATTTCCTGTAAATAAATTATCCCAAATAACTGTGTTTTGCAAGAGCAAAATTGTGGGTAGGCCAATAAGAAGAGCTAAAAATGCCAGGACCCCATTTCTGCAACTCCCTTGCTCATTTTTCCTTATGTGTAGTGAGCACTTGAGCAACAAGAGTGCTTGAGTTCCTCTTCTGAGTATGTGCTGTGTCAGTGTAAATAAAACTTGTAAAATTGGTTCCTGGACTTTTTTAGTATTTTGCAATTTCTGAGCCTTATTCCTGTTTCAGTGATGTTGGAAAATGCTGGAGTAAGAAGAGTTGTTTCCAGTAGGGATGGAGGAGTGTGAAATACTCTTGTGCTTTAGACTCATGAAAGATAAGGGCAGTGAAGCTGAGGTCTGTGTCCTAATTAGGAAGGCTGAGTCAAGTAGTGTAGCTAAGCTAAAGCTTTAAGGCATCCCACTGGTGGAAAAATGTGTCAGATAATGGTAATGTGATCTTCAAAGTTAAATTACATAATGGCCTACCCATGCTGCGCAGAACTGAATAAACAGAAAAGTATCTTTTTATCTTTGTATCATAGAACATGAAAATGGGTAATTAAAAATGGGTAATTACAACTTAGCAGTAGGTCAATTATAGAATCAGACTTCTTTAAAATAATATCAGTCTCTTTACCAAAGTTTATACGAAGTAATACTTGAAAATAAGTAAAATTTTAAAAGTTTGAAAAGACCTGGGAGACAAGTCACAGGAGAGGGGCTGTTCTTTTTTAACCAGTACACAAATAAGGTAGGGTTGGCAACTGTTTCCACGGTCTACATATTTCTGTCATTCCTGGCAGAACAGTCCAGAGTGAGAGCACATCAGTTTCAGGCTGAATACATGCTGGAGGCTGGTATGCTGTGACATCACATGATGTTTAACAAGTCATTTGTGGTCATGCCATCTTCTTACATCCTCTTCTGCAGGAGTGGAGATGCTCACAGGACCCAACTCCTTTTCCTCTGTTGTCTCGAGAACAAATCCATTATACTGCTGCAGAGTGCCATAAGATGTAAAAATTGAGTCTGTAGCACTATGCTCGAAACACCTCAACAAATGTTGGTTGAATATGTTATATTATAACAGCAACAGAGAAAAAACTTCAAAGTTCTTCATGTTAAGCACTTCAACACTGCTATTTCTTTTGGAAATGTCTATAATGCAAGAATGCTTAGGCAAGGAAAGTATATTTAGGACTAATGAGAATCTGCCTGTATATAATTCTGGATTCAGCATGCACACATATTTGCTTCATCTGTTCAACCCAACGCATATTAGCAGTAAACTGAGAAAAATACAAGTAATTAAGTGCCTTATTATGACATTGAACTACATAAAGCATTTCAATTTACCCATGTATAGGAAACAAAACCCTGTTTAAATGCCTCCTCTTAGGTAAACTGCTGCTCTCTTGAAATTTTGAGATGGCCAGTTTTCACCTTCTTCACAAGGGCCTGGAAAACATAGCACTCTTGTCCTGCAGGAGCGCTTCCTTGCTGAATGTCAGCCCTGAATAACAAGGGCATGTGGACATTCACAGTAACTTTATTTCCATTTCTCACACCTGCAATGTGGCCAATAATGTGTTGACAGATGAGTCTCCCTGGCATGCACCGCTTCCTATAGGAGTACAATGTATACAATTTCTGTAGAAAATCCTTACCACGCTGTAGACCCACTGTAGACCCAGTGAACCCCTGAAACATCGTGGGACAACACAGCGAGGTAAGTGACATTCATTTCCACTCTACTTGTTTGCATACTAGCATTTCCCACAAACTGGAGAATTATTTACAGGAGAACCGCGCAGTAGGTGAACTCCAGCTACACTTGTGTTTGCCACCAGCTCAGAAAGAAATGCATTTGGTGTGACTTCTACTCATACTCTAACTGTTACTTTAGCCACTCCACTTTCATTTGCAGTCCCCTTTTTCCACCATGCCATAATGCATTAAACACATAAAGCCACAGTCACTCAATACTATCTTCCCAATCCTCATTCAGATCTTCTGGCACACATGAAGTCTCGATTTAGAAGAGGAGGTCGCATCTTTCCATACTTTACAAGACAAACCCTTGGCACAGTCACATCGTTGGAAAATCTCCAGTCCATGGGAGCCTTTCTTGCGCTGTTTGGTGCACACCTCCCCCTGATGCAACACAGGCTTGCAAATTTTGGTCCAGAAGTGGCGAGCACAGCAGTGTCCCTCAATGCAGTCTGATGACCGTAGGCAGGGATCGCCTTCATGTCCTAAAAAGAGAAACCAAATTACTTTATCTCATGGAAAAATGTGAAACTACAGATTCATTCAGACTTATGCAAACGGAACTGAGAAAAAGGAGAGGTGATATTTCCACCTGTGGCTATTTGAAGGATGTAAACACAAGAGAAAATACTAATTAGGAAGATTCAAGGGTGTAATTCATGAGACCTGCCATATGACTTAGTAAGGAGAAATTCAGCTGCAGGATTGTAAACGGAATTACAAGTGTTCAATTACATGGCTGCTACAAGAGGAGGATGTCTGCAGTCTTGCACAACTGATAACATGATTGTCAGTCCACATCTGATACAGAGAAGAAAGCAGATGCTGTTTCAATCACAGGAACTGTCGGTTGACATTACATCACTTTCTGAGTCATGCTGTGATCCCTCACAACAGACATTCACTCCCTGTGAAATTACTGCCTATCTCTGGTTTCCACTGCTGTATCTTAACAGCAGTAACATGATTCATGACCTGAAGAACAGAGCAGTCCAGTCCAAATGGGATCTTACCCTTTATGTGTGACAGCTTGGATCGGGACCTCCCCAGGTTGTGCCATCCCAAATCCTTGCTCGCATAATGACCATTCTTCTTGTTGCGTGGCCCTTCTAGAGCAGGGATGTGAGGAGTAAGGATGCTTTCAGTCACTGGTATGCAAATACCTACAAGGAAAAGACAGCCACTCAAAGATTTGAATGAGAGGAAAAGCAGCTGAGAGACATGCCCCGACCAGGTCAGGATGATGAAAGCACCGGGGTTTGGCCTCAGTGAAGCTCAGCTGTAATCACATGTTCATCTCTGGTTCCTGGCACTTAGGCTCACCACAGATCTGCTTCACTCACTGTCAAACAGTCTCTCTGTCACTCTGGCTTGATGGTCTGAGCCCCTGGAGAGCTTCTTACAGACATCTCTCTCCAGTCTCCATGGAAATGCAGTCAGTATGGTTATAACTCTCCCCAGGGAGAGTAGATTCAGGATTCATTAAGTCTCCTTTGCTTCCTTACAATATGACTTCTGTGCATTCTTCCAGGGAATCAAAGTACACTGAATGTAGAGCTGTGATTTTAGGCAGCATTTTTGTGTTACTTCCCCACAAAATATAAGAAAAGACTGGTAGTACCTGAGCCCTATACTACTAAAGAAAATTAGACAGAGTGGAACAAAGTAGACAATTAAGTTTTCTTGGCTTAGAAAAAGAAGAGCTACCACCCAGGAAAAGATACTGTTGCTGGGAGCACTCATAGCAACAGATGGTGCCAAGAAGGCTGATTTTGTGCAGGAAAGGCCATGGCTGGCAGCCATACCGTTGTTGCAGCGGTTCCCGGGGCAGCACATCCCGTCCCGGTGGCAGCGCTTCTTCTTCCTGCGGCACACCATGCACGCGGACGTGGCTTGGTGAGGGCTGTGGCAGTACCGCCCCACCTCGCACTCCTTGTCGTTACTGCAGGGATAGGCCTGGAGGGGAACAGAAAGGTCTACAGTAAGGCACGCCTTTGCACAAGGAATGGATGCAGCCTGTTAGAAAAACAAAAAATAAAATGAGCAAACAAACAAAAAACATGAAAAACTGCCACTGAAACCTCCAAAATAAAACAGTAGCTGAGGTAACAATTCACGGGGCTAGGAGATGCAACTAGGGGTCCTCCACTGCAGCCACACAGCAATCTTTAAGCTCACACAACTGCTGGTCATTCCATAAAGAATAAGAGATGCTTACTCATGGTTTCATCTTTCCTTACTTCAAACATATATGAGCCCAAGAGAATTCATATTTTTGTGGATTCAGGGATCTGATTCATAGGCAAGAGCTTAAAACTCTACAATGAACAATCAATACAGCCATGAAAGCCAGTAACAATACTGAAACACACCCTCCAAAAGGTAACATTTAATTTTAAACTCTGAGGAGGTATTCTTCCTTTGGCAGATGTCAAACACACTGGGTTATTATCAATAAGCTCAGTGTTGTCACCATGAGTATCTGCATCACACTCAATCAAATGTCTGTAACTGCACCACTAATGCCTGGCCACACCAGTGGGAGTCCTTGGAAGTGACCAAACGTCACTGGTCAGCATTTCACTTTGATAACCTTTCATTCCCTTCTGGTCTCAGTATACTCCTTATACCTGCCACCTGCTGAACAATACCCTATGGTAGGCACCATGGAATGTATTACAGAGCACAAAATATCTTCCATGTATAATTCCCTACAAGCAGATACATGGGTACACAATTCTTCTCTATTCATCAAAACCAGCATTACCTCACAGGAAAACAGACTTTAAAAAGGAAAAAGCAAAAGCAAAAGCACTGCATTCTCCCATAAAGATAAAGAAAACTTTGTTCCTACAAAAGGAAAAGAGAAGATTCATGAAAGAGACACAATGATACACACTGCCACATTCCAGGATGCTTTCTGCTGACTCCCACACAGCTACAACTATGCTATCTGTTTCAATCTAATTTTACTGCCTGTAAAATTAATTACAGATTTTTTCCCCATTCCTCAAAATTATTCTTGAAGCACTTGTTTAAATAAAAAAAATGACAATAAATTTTGTACACTTCCTGAAAAATTACGTTTACATTTCCTCAACTAATTTTCTCCAGTATTTCAAGTAAATAAAACTATTGTTTTTCAAAATGATTTTTCAATTAATTGTTCACCCCCCCCCAAAAAAAAGCTCAACTGACTACTTTCCAGTGTAGAATGATTACTTTTCTGTAATCATTTTTGAAATCAAAACATACATTTCTCTCAGAAAAGAAAAACTTCAAGGTCTTTAAGAATACATTTTGAAAGTTGTTTCTTTAGGTGAAGAAACTCTTGTTTACCTATTTTCATGTGATTCTGATGAGAATCACATAAGAAACAAGAGGTCTTCAAAGAAAACCTAATTTCTCTCATGTCAGTAGTGGGAGGGGAAACTATGCCATTTCTCATGTGACTTCATGAGTTGTTTGTCAAAATTTACATTACAGTACCAAAAGTGCTGGCTGGGTATTTCCCAAGTGTTGTTGCCTCTTTACTTCTGTCCTCTGAAAATGTGCCTTTGAGAATTTTTCCAGGGTGCAGCTGTTTGGAGTAATCTGAACTATGTGGAAGTCTTTTAACCTTAAGAATGGACATTTCCTCAAGAGGAGGAAATCAAAGAAGGACAGATCTTTTAAGCTAGAAGTACCAATAAAAGACAAATAGAAATACCTTTTTGGTACTCTTAAGGCATAAGCAGATTCTACTTATTCTAAGTGGAGCTAAAGTGCTCTTTCCTCAATCTCATCACTCCTGTCCCTCATTTTTCCAAAACTAATAAATAAAACTGACTTAAAATTTATTATATAGTTACCATAAAAGTAAGACTTATTTAAATTGTACCCTACTAACCTATGTATCTTACAATGCAAAAATAAAGCAATTTTATATAGATTTGTGCATGGTTATACCGAGTTTGGAAAATACTAACTCTGCTAGCTGGAGGAAACGCAAATAAAAAACAGATGGACTGGCTAAAACCTGGAGATGAAGGCATTTTAGACCCTTGTCTGTCATCAAGACCTTCACAACCGCATCTTTTTTCCAACATGGGCATGTGGCATACACCTGCAACTTGTCAGCAAGAAGCCTACTTGCAGTTTTATTTTGGTTCCTCAAATAGCTTCTCAAAAAAAAGACTTCCCTGATCCTGAATGGTGCTAATGAATGCTCTCACATACCATATCTAGTGATGGTTTTACTTTTGGCTTTTAAGCTGAGTGACATGAAAAAGATATTTTAAGATATGCATCTAATTGTCAGCTCTACACTCTGTCCTTGAGAATGGTGAAAGTAACAAAAGACAACTTCAAAAATTGCTAGGAAAATCAACAGAACTCAGCCTTTCTTCCCAATCTAGAGCCCATTCCTAAATAAAAATGATACTTCTGAATTACATTAAGCCAAAACTGACCTACCTAAGGCAAATGACTGCAGCACATAAAAAAATAAGTCTGTTACATGTAGCTTAGATAATAACTAATAGGTCCACTCAAAAGACCAGCTACCAGCCAGCCATACAAGAAACCCTCTTGCAAATGCCTGCTGCCACCAACTATTTTGATCTGCCAAAATCACTATCCATTTATAGCCTGGCTATCAATCACAGGACCTTGAAACAAAAATGTCTCTATAGCCTTGTGTCTGTTTCCTAGTCACTAGACATTCGTTAGAATAGACATAACTCCTGCTCTCAGCAGAGTAATTCCTATTGCTGTGTAGCATTCATCATAGAAACAGAAAAATAAAATAACATATTGTGTACTTAGCCTTGGCTAGCAGGAGGGAAATGCATTCATAATTATTCCTTTATTGCCAGTTGAGTCAATCTAGGTATACTTCTTTAAAATACAGGGTAAAGAAAACATACTTGTAAAAACGTGCATGTTAACTATTATCTATGTAAAAGTCAAGATTTCCAAAATCTCCTGCACCACAGTGCCTGGAACAGAGTCTTTACGTTCAGAGAATTGAAGAGAACATTTCCTATATACAACACAAAGACACAGATCAGTCCCAGATGGAGAGGGAAGAAGCAAGCTGTAAACCAGCTCTACTTCCCCAGCAATGATAACTAATTCTATAAGGCACATCATCTCTTCACATTCTTCAGCTACACGTATCATTTTCTGGTTGTAAATCTCCATCCACTAAACACAACTTTGATAGCATGGGAAACCAGATGAAACTGAGATAAAATACGTAGCACTCTCTGAAGCTGCATTTAAACAATCTTATTTTTTTATCCCACTTGCAGGCAATCAAGTCACCCGTAGCATGACATGAACTAGATGTCCTCTGTGATAATGAGTCACATTTTCAGAATGTGTTGTCTGATTAAGAGCATTGTTTACTGACATGGTTTTTCCTAAGCCATTCCAATTAGCTTTGTATCCTTGTATAAAAGATACTGTTGATTACTTGTCCAAAACTGTACAGCAAAGGGATTTTTGCAATGTTGGAGGATTCAGGCTAGATGTTGAAATGGGTGTTGCTTGTGCTGCGCCAAAATGTCACCTTCATCAGTCCACCAAGACTAACCCTTACCAGTCAGGTCACAACAATACTGAGATGTTAAACTTTTCTCTTAGGGAGAGAGAATATTCCTTCCCTTCTGAATTTATATTCAAAATTTCATGAATGCATGATAGAAATACTCAAGGAAATTTATGCAGAGGATAGAGGACAAAAGTTGGGGATTTTTATAGTTGAACAAGCCGTTCCAAGCACTAAGATCTTCCTTTTTATATTAACTTCCCAGGAAGGCTGTGTAAGGAACTGATTGTCTACATTTTATGGTTAAGTGGGTAATGTCATTCCCACGATTTGAGAATCATGCAGCAGTGAGGTTTATGCTTACCTTTGTCTTTCTCCTTCTGACAGAGGAGCTCTTAGCCCCTTTTCTCAGTGCAATGACACTTTCTTGATATTTTTGCTGGAGTCATTTGCTATCACACATATTTTATAGGTACCACAGAGTTTCACTGCAAGCTGTAGCAATATTAAGTGGTGAGACTGTTGTGCTAAGAAGTCAAACAGTTTGAGTCTCTCTGTCTGGCACTATAAAATGTAATGGAGAAGCACTCCAGGGGGAAGAGTAAGACAGACGCTGTAATGTGCTGAAGGGTGAGAAGACTGATGGCAAACATACTTTATTGAGCTTTGGGAGATAAGGTCTTGAATTTCAGCATGGCCTCCAGCAAATATTTGAAGACCATATTCCCAGCCAGTGTCTTAATCACCAGGCTCTCAATCTGCTCGTATTAGGATGTTTTATTTGTTTTTATGCTGAAGTACCCCACACCGTACTAGGTAATAACAAGTCAGTGAAAGGCAGGAAGAGTCACTGGCATTTTTACCTAGACTGTGTCATCACTTATCCAGCACAAGCAGTTGAGACACTGCTGGCTTTAGACCTGCCTTCAACGCTGCCAGGAGCTGTGCCCAAATAGGTGTTTTGATGGAAAAGATATCAGTAGTGATTCCCTCAGAAGCAATTAACTTTTTTTAAAAAACACATCATAAAATCCAAGTGCAGAGTCAGTCCTGGCAGAAAATCATGGCTACTACCCCTCCCAGCAGAAGAAACAGCATGGAGGTTGTCCATTAGCCTTTCACTGCGGATGCCAAGCAGCACTCAGTGAGACAGATGAATTTCATGTACCACAGAAATGACAGTACCACTGCATGTATTGTTTTGCATACCCTGCCAGACTTGGTCCATACAATCATTCCCTGATTATAGTGGGGACTGAGTGGAAGAGGAGAAAAGCTACAACCAGTTGTACAGCCAGGAAGTGAGAGCTCTCCAGAGCTACCAGGTCAGTCCTTCATCATCCTCTCTCACTTGGCAACGAGGCAGTAGCCATATTGCAAAGGTGAGACAAGGGACTCAAGGAAATGGACACATATATTAACC